AACAAAGAGAGGACACAAACCAGTAAGGAATTAATCTTTGAGAAAAGGGAGCCATACTGGGTGAGATGCACATTTATTTTTCTCTTGAAGATACTCTAATAGTTGCAGAGTGTGCCAGCTAGAACTCAGGCCACCTTCTTTTGGGTCTGAGGAGTCAGAATTTCCAGAGATCCTGGTAAATTGATAAGGAAAATTCTAAGAAAGAGTAGAATCAGAAAGAACACAGCCAGAAGTCCGTATACAGTCATTCCTCAGTGTCTGTAGGAGATTGGTTCTAGGACCTCCCCCTACCAATATCAAAATCTGTGGATACTCAAGTTGCTTGTACACAGTGATGCAGAATTTGCTTATACCCTATGCACATTCTCCAGTAAACTTCACATCATCTTTACATATACTTACAATACCTAATACAATGTAAATAATTGTTATACTGTATTGTTTTTTAAATTTTTTTGGGGGGGGGAGCATTTAATCATTTTTTGATTTTTATTTTTTTTTTGAGATGGGGTCTCACTCTCTTGCCCAGGCTAGAGTGCAGTGCTGCGATCATGGCTCACTGCAACCTCTGCCTCCTGGGCTCAATTGATCCTCCCCACTCAGCCTCCCAAATAGCTGGAATTACAAGGCCATGCCACCATGCTCAGCTATTTTTTTTTTTTTTTTTGGTAGAGATGGGGTTTTGTTACATTGCCCAGACTGGTCTAGAACTCCTGGTTTCAAGTGGTCCACTTGCCTCTGCCTCCCAAAGCACTGGGATTACAGGTGTGAGCCACCATGCCCCATAATTTTTTGAATATTTCTGATTTGCAGATGGTTGAATCAATGAATGGGCAACCATGATACGTAGAACCCACTGTGTGAATTATTCTCTCATCTTCATCTGACTTCCAAACTATGCATGTGCATGTTTGGGTAAAACTCTGGATGTGAGAGGCAATATGAGGAGCTTGAAGGATGAATAAACTAAGCAGAGTTATAATCTGCTGCTTGCCACAGCAGAATAAGAGTTTGGAGTTAGAATATCTCTGTGTGAGAGGGGTTTGTTAAATACCTTTGGTTTTTTTTACTGAACTTCTAGAAAGGACATGCTTTAAAAGTAAAGACTACTTCAGAGAACTAAGACATTTGCAAAAGCAGCATAATACGACCCCAGTAAAGGCTAAAACTAAGTGCTTGTGGATCAAGGTACTCTGTGAATAATATACTTAACTTCTAGGACAGATAAGCAACACTGTTCCAAATATGTTAACGAAAGAGTCCCTACAGTGTATTAAAAACAATACCCAAATCACAATTTAAAAAATCATTTGTGGGAGGCCAAGGCGGGCGAGTCACCTGAGGTTGGGAGTTTGAGACCAGCCTGACGAACATGGAGAAGCTCTGTCTCTACTAAAAATACAAAATTAGCCAGACGTGGTGGCACATGCCTGTAATCCCAGTTACTCAGGAGGCTGAGGCAGGAGATTTACTTGAACCCAGGAGGCGGAGGTTGTGGTGAGCCAAGATCACACCATTGCACTCCAGCCTGGGCAACAAGAGTGAAATTGCATCTCAAAAATCAACAACAAAAAAATTATGTGCAAAGAAACGACAATGTGATCCATCTTCATGAAGAAACAAATCAATAAAAAACAGGCCCACAGATGACCAGAGATTGTACATTACAAGTAATTATTTTAAAATAACTGACATAAAAAGTGTTAAAGAAATAGACATAATAAATAAAACAATAGAGGATTTTAGAAGAAATATAGAAACTTAAAAAGGAATCAAATATATATCTTAAATATAGCTAAATAAAAAAAATTGGATGAGATTGACAGAAGACTGGGTCCAACAAAAGAAATTATTCATAAATTTAAAGATACATTAAAACTTATCCTTAATAAGAAGAGAGAGAGAGAAAGAAGGAAAAACTGAAATACAAAAGAAAACAAAACAAAAACCTGTAATTTAGTCCCAGAGGGAGAGGAGAGTGAGAATTGCACAGAAAAAAGGAAAAATACTGAAGAAATATTGACCAACCTATCACAAAGTTTGATCAAACAAAAACATCAACTTACAGACTCAAGAAGCCCAGAAAACTCCAGGAAAAACAGATACAGAGCAAATTACACCTGAGCACATTATAGTCACACTGCAATCAGCCGAAGCAAAAGAAAAAGTTTTAATAGAACAGGGGATAAAGACATATACAGGAGAATCTGGAGAAGACTAACAGCATATTCATTATTAAAAAAAAGAAAATAATAAAAATTAGAAGATAAAGGAATGACATCTTAAAGTGTCAGGGCATGGGATGGGGTGTGGGGAGACACTATCACATAGATTGTTTCATCAAGTGAAAGTATGTTATTTAAAAATGAAGAAAACACAAAGATACTTCTCAGATGAGCTGTAAACAGAAGCTAAGAAAATGTATCCCAACTCACACTACCAGAAATGCTCAATAAAGCTCTTCGGGATGAATATAAATGATATAAAATGAACATCCGAATCCAAAAGAAAGGAAGGAAGAGTACTATGAATAGTATATATGAGAAGCTATATTTTCCTTTCTCAAATGTTATAAAATGTAATGAACTGTTTGGAGCAAAAATAATAACAAAATGATGGTTTCCCATCATTTGCAAAGGAAAAATAAAACATGATGATTGCAGAAATAGAGGAGGAGAAGATACTATTTACAGCTCTTACATTGTATATGAAGTGATATAATGTCAATTCAGTATCCATGTAGACAAGTTAAGTAAGGATGCTTATTGTTATTATTAGGGCAACCATTGAAAAAAAGAAAAGCAAAAAAGCCAATAGAAGAGGTAAGTTGAATAACTAAACAAAAAAAACCAGCAGCATGAGTAACCCAAGAGAAGACAGGAAACATGGAATAAAAATACTCAGAACTAAGAGCACAGATAAACAACAAATAGCAAGCTGTTATATTTAATCCAAATTATATTAATATTTACATCAAATGTTAATGAACTAAACATTCCAATCAAAAAGCAGGGGTTGTCACACTGGATATAAAGAATTAAGCACCTTTTTTTTTTTAAGAGATACATATTATTTATAAAGACAAAAGTGAATTAAATGCAAAAAGATTAAAAAAAAAAAAAAGTGCTGAGCAGGCCAGGCGCGGTGGCTCATGCCTATAATCCCCGCACTTTGGGAGGCCAAGGTGGGTGGATCACAAGGTCAAGAGATCAAGACCATCCTGGTCAACATGGTGAAACCCCGTCTCTACTAAAAATACAAAAAATTAGCTGGGCATGGTGGCGTGCACCTGTAGTCCCAGCTACTCGGGAGGCTGAGGCAGAAGAATTGCTTGAACCCAGGAGGTGGAGGTTGCAGTGAGCCGAGATCGCACCATTGCACTCCAGCCTGGGTAACAAGAGCGAAACTCCGCCTGAAGAAAAAAAAAAAGTGCTGAGCAGAACCTCATGATCTGTGTGGAAATAAATATGAAAGAGTTCATGTTGCATATTAGGCAAAGTAGATTTCAAGGCAAGGAGTATTACCATTCATAAAGGGCATTAGTTCACAATGATTAAATGGTTAGTTACTCAAGAATACCTAGAAATTCTAAATGTATGCAATAAACAACAATACTCCAAAATACATAAAGGACAAGTTAACAAAAGTAAAGGAATAAATAGAAAATGCACATAGTCAATAATTTTAATACCATTCAGTTAGAGTTGATATAACAAGCAGATAACATGACCAGGTGTGGTGGCTCACACCTTTAATCCCAGCACTTTGTGAGGCTGAGGCAGTTGGATTGCTTGAGCTCAGGAGTTTGAGACAAGCCTGGGTAATATGGCGAGACACTGTTTCTACCAAAAATATAAAAAGTAGCCGGGTATGGCGGCACGTGCCTGTGGTCTCAGCTTCTTGGGAGGCTGAGATGAGAGGATTGCTTTGAGCCTGGGAGGCAGAGATTTCAGTGAGTCGAGATCCCGCCACTGCACTCCAGCCTGGGTGACAGAGTGAGAACCTGTTTCCAAAAGAAACAAACAAACAAGTAGATAATGCAGAAAGAATGTAGAAGAATTGAAAATAGTGTTAACCAGCTTGATCATACAACATTTGTAGAACACATACCCAGTAATTTGTAGAATACATGTCCTCTTTAAGTACATATGGGACTTTTATAAAGATAGGCCTTTTGCTGGTTCTTAAAACAAGTCTCAGTAAACGTCAGCTGGTTAGAATCATACAGAGTATTTCTCTGACAGAAGTAGAACAATATTTGAAATTAATTACAAGATATTCAGAAAAGCCCAAACTGTTTGGAAATTGAAGAAATTACGCAGGAGGTTAAAATATTTTGAAATGGGTGATATTGAAAACACAACATACTAAAATTGGTGAGAGGTAAATAAAGAAATGCTTACAAATAAATGTATGGCTTTAAATGCTTATATTAGAAAATGGTCGATTTCAAATCAGTGATCTACAGCTCTACCATATGAGAGGTACTCTACCAAGTAAAAGAACAAATTAATCTCAAAATAAGTAAAAATGGGAAACAATAAAGATTAGAAATTATGCTATAGAAAATAGACTAATAATGAGAAATGTTGACCAACAGAGAAAGTCAATAAGGTCAAAATATTTTCTTTAAAAGCATTTTTAGACCAACTAAGGAAAGAAGAGAGAAAACACCAATTACTAATAACAGTATGATAGAGAAATAACTTCTGGGTTGGTAATCCCCAGACTCTTCTTAGGGTTGAAAATTTGCTAGGAGTACTCCCAGACCTCAGCACGCTACCCCTGGCTAAGATTTTTTACAGCATGCTTAGGATTGAAGAAGTTTCCTCTAAAATTCAGGTGTTGAAACTTAATGGCCAATGTGATTATACTGAGGGAAGATCTTTAAGAGGTGATTAGGTCATTAAGGGTCCTACTCTTATGAGCGGAATCAGGTGCTCTTATAAAAAGGCTTGAGGGAGGGAGTTTGTCTTTCTTACCTTTCTACCTTCTGCTAGGGGAGGACGCAGCGTTTCTTGCCTCCAGAAGATGCAGCAACAAGGTTTCTTCTCGGAAGCATACAGCAGCACTCACCAGACAACTGAACCTGCTGGTGCCTTGGTTTGGAGCTTCTCAGCCTCCAGAACTGTGAGTAACAAATATCTGTTTCTTATAAATTACCTAGTCTGTGGTATCCTGGGTATTCTGTTGTAGCAGCACAAAACAGTCTCACATACAACCAGAAGAAACAAAGCAAAATCTGAAGGCAGAGGTACATGGAGCAGAGTGCAGAGGAAACCAGACGCGAGGTTTCAAACGTGCTCTCTCCATGGAACCACAAAGGATATGCCTAGTTCCCCCACAGTGACTTGTGACAACATGTATGAAGTATCTAATGATCTCATCAGAGATCTCAGTGTCTAGGATTTTTACTGGAAACCATTCATATTGGCGGCCTCTATCCAGCATACACCAAAATTGCAGACTCTCAGAAAGAAAGCATGTATTCAGCATAAACCATATTGCTTGTGCAGTTCAGTTAGTGCACTACTCTTATCAGATAGGGTGGCAAAGATCCTTCCAAAATCAGAGTTTTCAGATGCCAGCCAATGAATGGCCACATTTGAAATGATAGCAAATGATAACCATCGGAACTTTGATGTTAACTCTTCTGCACAACTATATGCCCTGCAAATATTGCAAAACTAACAGCTTTATGCCAATATCAGAATGATAGAGGACACATGACTTGGTGTCCATATATTTGTCAACTAAAACAAAATGGCAAATTTATCTTTTAAATAAATTGAATCAGGAAAAAAATCTATTGATAAGAAAACTCCAGACTCGTGAGCACTCTGAAAAATTCTATAAAACCCTTAAAGAAAAAATAACACTAATTTCACAAACTGCTTCAGAAAATAGAGGATTAGGGAACACTTATGACCTGTTTTATGAGGTTAATTTTACTCTGATACCAAAACCTGCCAAGAATGAGACAAAAAATTACATTCCAAAATCCTTCATGATTATCAATGCAAAAGTTCTTAAAAATATGTTGAAGAATTAATTCAGAAATATATAGAAGGAATGTATCCCAGGTGGGCAAGGTGGGGTCAGCGTGCCTGAATCAATCAATCTAATTAACCGCATTATATATAGGGAAGAAACCTGTTTTTCTTTACTCTCATGGTGCTTTCAATACTTCCCTTATGACACCAGAAATGTGAAGGTTTTTTTCTACAGCAGTCAATTTTCGCATTTTCTTGGGATACCAAAGAGGTGTCTTACAATTCAATTTCCACACTACCTGGAATTAGCAGAGATCCCATAAGTTAAGGGCTCAGTTCCATGAGATTGTCCCCCCACTTCAGACACCAGTTGCAAGTGGTGAGTCTTTATGTGACCCACAATTTCTGTCTGACATGCTACAAAATTGGTGGTTCCCAGGAGCTTCTTTTCATGTTCAGTCATTTGCTAGAACAGCCACAGAATTCAGGAAAATGCTTCCTTATGTTTACTGGTTTATTATAAAATGGAGGATATGATGAAGGCTGTAGATGACCAGCCAGGTAGATACACAGGATGAGGTCCATAAGGTCCACACTGCAGGTGGTTCTGTCTCATGGAGTTGAGGTACATCGCCCCTCCTGGCACGTGGATGTATTTACCAACCTGGAAGCTCTCTAAGTCCCTTACTTTAGGGATTTTTATAAAGGCTCCATTATGTAGGCATGATTGGTTATTAACTCAGACTTTAGCTTCTCCCTCCCTCCCCGGAGGGATGGGGGCTGAGGATGAAAGTTTTGTGATGCATGACTTGGTTTTTTGGTGGCTGGTCCCCATCTGGGAGCCCATCAAGAGTCATCTCATTAGAACAAAAGATGTTCCTATCACAAGGAATTTCAAGGGATTTAGGAGCTCTGTGTCAGAAACCGAGGCCAAAGACCAAATGTAAGAATAAAAGATACCCTTAGAAGCCCTATCACAGAAGGCAGAGTCTATAAATAAACACACATTTATATGTTCAACCATTTTCAACAAAGGTGCCAAGGTAACTAATTGAATGAAAAAAGTCTTCAAGAAAAGTGTTGGATAAACTAAATGTCTATATGGAAACAAAAGGGTGCCTCAATCCTCATATCATTCGAAAAAATTAATTTGAGCTCGATCATAGACCCAGGCATACAAATGAAAACTATAAAACTCCTAGAAGAAATACACAATAATATCTTTAGACCCTAAGGGAGATGAAATTTCTTAGATAGAACTAAAGAGGCACTAATCATAAAGAGAAAAACCTTAAATTGGACTTTAGCAAAATTAAAATCTGCTCTTGGGGGGGAAAAAAAACACCATCGAGAAAGTCACAGACAGAAAAATATTTGCAAAGGGTTAATATTCAGGGTATTCGAAGAACTCCTAAATTTCAACAATTAAAAAACAAATAATAGGGAAATGGACAGATTACTTGCAAAATGAGGTATATAATTAACCAACAAATACATAAAAAGGTGCATTTTATAATTAGTCTTCTGGGAAGTGCAAATCAAAATCCCAAGAGATACTACATTACAGACATCAGAATGGCTAAAATTAAAGAGACTGGCAATACCAAGGGTTGGTGAGGATGTAGAATATTCTGGAACTTGCTTACATTGCTGATGGGAATGTAAAATGGTTCAGCTATGGTGAGAAACAGTTTGTTAGTTTCTTATAAAGCCAAAAACATACCTACCCTATGATTCAGAAATGCTACTTTTAGATATTTACCCAAGTAAAATGAATGCTTATTTCCACAATAAGATTTATAAAAGAATATTCTTTTTGTGTTTTATTTACTTTTTATTTATTTTTTAAATTTAGTTGTTTGGCTTTTATTAATTCTCCTCTGTCATTTTTGGCTTGTTTGGGGATGTTAAAAAAAAAATGCTTCTTAAAACATAGCACAGACTTCAGGAAATACTTGTTCAATGAAGGGACAGGCAGGGCCTGGTCACGGTTGGGAGGGAAAGCCTGGCTGGCTTCAGGTGTGCCCAGCACAAGCTGAACCCCACCCCATTCACCATCCAGCCATTCCTGGCATCCCTGGCGTGAGATCAGCTCTTCTCGGCTCTCAGAGGTCACTAGTGTTTGTAAAAGAATATTCTTAATAGCTTTATTTATAACAGCCAAAAACTCTTACCAACCTCAATGTCTGTCTACAGGTAAATGGATAAACAAAGTATAATATATTTTTCTTTTTGCTGTTGTTTTTCGAGGCAAAGTCTCATTCTGTCACCCAGGCTGACGTGCAATGGCAAGAACATAGCTCACTTCAGCCTTGAACTCCTGGGCTCAAGCAATCTTCCCACCTCAACTAGGGTTGTAGAAGCATGACACCACACCCAGCTAATTTTTTTATTTTTTTATTTTTTTGTAGAGACATAGTGTCATGTTGCCCAGGCTGGTCTCAAACTCTTGACCTCAAGTAATTCTGCCTCAGCCTCCCAAAGTGCTGGGATTACAGGCATGAGCCACTACACCTGGCCTGATATATTTATATAATGAAAAGCGAAACTAACTTTTACTACACACAACAGAAGGGACAAATCTTTAAAGCATTCTGTTGGGTAAAAGAACCTAGACATAAAATAGTATACACTGTATGATTTAATGTATTTAAAGTTCTAGAATAAGGAAAACTAACCTAGTGGTTACAAAATCCAGAAGAGTGATTGCCTCTAGAAGATAAGTAGGGTCAGGTGGGTATTGAGTGATAAGAGTGGAGGAAACTTTCTAAGGTGATGAAAATAGTCTACTTTATTGGGATGGTGGTTACATGGAAAATACATTTGTCAAGCCTCCATGAGCCTCATACTTAAAATTAGAAAATTTTGTTGTCTGTAAGTAATAATTCAGTTATAAAAACTAAAAACCAAAAACATTTATCTCGCTGGGGACAGGGTGGTAAAAACAAGCTGGATTGGGTTCTTGAAGCCAGGACCTGGTTCTAAACCCCACACTCTTTCTTTCTTCTTTGCCACCTCCTGAGCAAAGTCCTCACTTTGAGAAGGGGCAGCCGTCAGCTTTGAACTGGTGTCTTCTCAGCCCCCTGTCTGACCACGGAGCTCCAGAAGCCCACCCCACTGATGCCTATGGTGGGGCTTTCTCTACTTCCGCCTCCACATCATGTTCTTTGATAAAAGCCTCCCTGCTGGAAGAACTGCCTTCCTTATACCCATGTGCTTGTGCAAATTTGTGGCTGATTTCTCCCAGGGGAACAATCTCCACTTAAATTCAAAGCCATTGAGGGGCTCCTCTAATCTCAAAAGCATTTGTAGAGCTGAACACTGCATTTTTATTCCCAAGGTGATGTTCCCAGAATCACCAAGCCTCCCTAGTGTGTGCAGTCAAACTGGCAACACTTTGGTGTAACTGTTAGGAGGTCCTGAACCCTAGCTCACAAGATAACCTGAGTTCCTTGCTCTCTAAGGGATAGAAGCTGTATGCTCTTGCTTCCTGAATGCCCATCAGCTGCTGACGGGGATGAGGATTTTATATCCTGATCGCTGTCCCCTGGCAGAGAGGCACCGCCCTTCCCAACCACGCTGGGAGTGTTTTCTCCTCCACAAACAATCGCTAATGATGTTTTCTCTCTGGACTGACACCTGCCTTATTAGGAGCTCCACTCAGTAGCAGCACCTGAGCAGAGACCGAGGCCTCCAGCCTGCCCTAGGCAAGCTGAGCCCAGTGGGGGAATGACTTACAGAGGCAGTTCAGAAAATCAGAACTGAGATTCAGAGACTTCTGAATGGTTATGTCCCCAAGGGATACATGACGGTGATCCTCAGGTATTTTCAGAGTCACTCTATTTGATTTTATTTTTAAGTTTTGCTGGCCTTCATACAATGGAATACAACAAGCTTGCTTTCTTTAGGTACACGTGGTTTGCATTTCAGAGAGCTCCCTCCTACAGGCAGATGCATTCATGGGCTGGGGGAGTTTGTCAATCTGAAAATAAAGTGGAAAGAATGTCCACCTGCATTCCTTTTGTCAGCTCTTTGCAGATGAATGTAGAAGGGCAGGGGTTCCATGGTGGCCTGTATCTGAGGCAAGAGCTGTGAGGAAAGGAACGGCCATGTGGAGTTTGCACGAGAACACTGAGCAGGGGAGTTGAAAGATATCTTGCTATAATGAGAGAAACAGTCCAGCAGACAGAAGTGTCTGCCCACCCCCAACATCCTGCTACTGGGAAAACTCAAATCATTCTGGGAACCTGGCATCCTTTAATGTTTCCCAGGCTGGCAGCTCCAGGGGGTCCGGCCTGAAGAGACGGGAGGACATTGAGTGCATGGTTCAGGCAGAAAGCACACAAATGTCCAGTTCTGACCGCAAAGTAGTTTCCAGATGCTGTGCTGATCTGGAGCCCCATGCTAAGGACCAGCATGTGCCACAGATCTCTCTGCTGCATGCCCCCAGCCTGCAGCTTCTGTTGTCTTTGCCTGCTGGCCACAGGCTTGGCTACAGTGGGCTGGCTATGACCAGAGAGGAGAACAGAAGACAGCTGACACTAGAAAAGCAGGTTTTCCATCTTCAG